AAAAAAAAAAAAAGAATCAGATGCTTAACTGACTGAGCCACGCAGGCGCCCTTTAACCTCCACTTTTAAAGTATCTTTAGACATGTCATCAAACCTTGCCAGGATAGTTTATTTAAAGTTAAGGAATTTTCAAAATTGAGACTTTGTCATCAGCCCAACTAAAGGCTGCTGATAAAAGCTATTACTTTACGTTTTGCCTATTTGTCATTATTATATACCTCTCAGGCCTTCAAAACTAGCATTTCCACGGTTTTTGTGTATTTAAAAACAAAGTTCTTTGGCTAACCTGTATCTTGATGAACATGAATATTTTACCATTAAATGAGAAGTAATAACTGCTAACATAATGTTAAAAATAAAGTGCTTGGTTGTCTAAAAAAGCAACAATTAATTATATTCAGGATTTTAGATGGCTACAAGAAGAGGTGCCATCACTGCTGGATCTCAAAAGATAACTCAGATTGCATCAAAGAAAAATGAGAGGAAATGTATTTTAGACCAAAAGAATGAAATGAGCAAATAAACAATGGTAGTGAGCAAATGCTAGGAATCCACTGGAGTTCACCATAGCCACAGGCTCATTAAGGATGAAGCTGAAAGATCAGGTGGGACCTGAGTAATGGGATTTATTCCAAAGGCGTATAGAGTTCCACATTCTGATGGCAGGAGGAGAGAGAGTACAGTGAGGACACTGGAGAGAGAGATCCCTTTAGAGGTTGCTGTCACAGCACCTCTGCTCCTACCACTCCAGGCTTGTGTGGAAGCATTCCTCCACAGGGTTCTGCAGGGATTCAGGTTCCTTCCATCTAGTTGTTCTGTACCCACTAAGAAAGCCTATTTATCTGCAAGGTCAAAGCTCCACTGCTGCCAAGTTTGAACCAGTAGGAGGGAAAAGATGGAACTGGTGGAGTACAGGAGCAAATTTCTGTGGCCTAGACTCTCAAGTGACATACACATACTTCTGTTTCTATCTCCTGAGCAAACATAATCACATTGACCACTGCTAGCTTTAAGAGCAGCTAGAAAAATCTAACATCTAGCAAGGTTGTCAGGAGCTCATTTTGATAACAGAACTTTGTAATAATTAGAGCTGACATTTCTTTTATTATTGTAAAAAGATATGCAACAATATCTGAGACAGATAATTTTAAAAGAGTTCTGAAATTAAACTTGGCCATTTTAAGGGATGGACCCAAGCTGCACTAAGTACAGAGGTCCTGTACTTTCTGAGACACAGATATTGATGTAGGAGAGGGTGGGCACATGACTATCATCCAAATAAAAAGAGTCCTTCCTCACCAACTGGATCAAGGAATCCTCCTCTGTCTCTCTCATTTTTTGTTGCTGTTATTTTTCATTTTATTTATGAAGCTATAAAGATATGATTCTAGAGATGATGAATCTAAGGCTAGTTATATTTGGATGTATAGCAGGATGTTTTTACTATTTAGCAATTAAAAAAAATAAATTTGGCGTCTCTCTTCCAGATTCCATTATTTGGAAGAAAATTTGCTGACAAGAAAAATAACTTTTTTAAAGGCTTATTTATTTATTTTGAAAGAGAGTGTGCATGTGTGAGCAGGGGAGGAGCAGAGAGAAAGAGAGAGAGTGAGAGAGAGAGAGAGAGAGAGAGAGGATATCCCAAGCACGTTCTGTGCTGTCAGCATGGAGCCCAACATTGGGCTTGATCTCACACAACATGAGATCATGACCCAAGCCCAAATCAAGAGTCACATGTTTAACCAACTGGGCCACCCAGGTACCCCAGGAGAAATAGCTTTTTATATTTTGCAAGTATACTCCTGGTAAAAGAAGAATTGTTAAAATATTCTTAAACTGATGGAAGCTAATGAGATTTAATTTAATAGAAATGACTTTTTTCATGTTTTATCAATTTAACTCCTCCCAAATGCGGTAGCATGTTGTTTTAGAAATTGTGGTTCTTTGGCACCTCGTGCACTCATCTTTAGAGAATGGTGGAAATTCTCAGACAGGAAGAGTCTCGTTTAACATCCTGTTACACAAAGTTTGGTGAAAAACCACAAAGCTGCAAATGTACCAGCCCTTCCAGAAAAGCACAGACATGAAACAATTTCAGTTCAGAAATGTGGTGAGTGCAACTGATCAGTTAAAAAATTAAATGTCTTAAAAAATAATAGCCTTTTAGGGATATAATTCACATGCTTAGGGAATTTTAGAACTGGAGAGTTTAGCAACTGTGATGTAAGAGTAAAAACAATCCAAAACCAAAATCACCTTGCATTTGCTGGATTTTGAAAAACACAGACTAAGCGAAGAGAAATCCAGAACTACATAAAATGTAAGGCAATGGAACTTGCCTAGTGGTTTGGCTGTGATAAATACGGCAACTTGCCTACATGTTGGATTGAAAAATGCATCAGTTCACTTAACTGAACTTAAGTTCAATCTTATTGCACCGAAAATATAGGTCTTAAAGGGAAAACTGAAATCACAGAGGATTTTAATTTGCAGGATGGATATTCAGGAAAGAGTCTCTAATAAGACTTGGACAGTAAAGTGCTAGTATAACATATTTATGAGTTCGCAAAAGCGTCATTCAAGCTACTGTATCTTTTTTTAAAAAATTTTTTTAATATTTGTTTATTTTTGAGAGACAGACAGAGACAGAGCACGAGTGGGGAAGGAGCAGAGAGAGGGAGACACAGAATCTGAAGCAGGCTCCAGGCTCCGAGCTGTCAGCACAGAGCCCAACATGGGGCTCGAACCCACGAACCATGAGATCGTGACCTGAGCCGAAGTCGGTGTTTAACCGATGGAGTCACCCAGGCACCCCTCTAAGTGTGTCTTTGTGCCCATTCTCCAAAGAGGTTGAGGCCATGTGCCCCGTTTCTTTCATCCACCCTTACACATGCAAGACAGCTTGTGCCATATCTCCTATGGTAACCATAGGTGGAGTCTGACACTTTGCTCATTCTTTTTTCAGGAGGATCCTTCACAGATGCAGATTGCTCTGATTCCCCTATAAAAGGTTCAAGTAAATGTACTAATGTACTAATATGAAAAACCCCCCACCCTTCTTCCAGAAACTGAATCAGAAGAACATCTTAACAAAAGTCAACTGGCGTGACCCCTCTGTAGCCTATGGTTTCTGCTGTGGTATACTGAAGGCATACGTAAGTGCACCCTACCTCAAGTATAGTCCTTTTACACATTTCCAACACTTGTCAGGAATGATCCATTTTAAGTCTAGGAATTGTTAAATTTGTGACTTAAATGTGCGGTCTCATTATTAAGGAGTACACATTCAAAGCCTCTTCAAGTCTGATTTATAAAGGGGAAATCATTATTTTTCTGGCTTAATATTTCCTTTTTACCATTTTTGGGGGGCATCAGAAAGCTCATACAATTAAAGAGGACAGACTTTAATATTTGGGGGCATTAATTATCCATATAAGCTACCCTACAGAAGAAAGGAAGACCTAACATAATATGTGAATTTCTAAGTGTCTCTGCTTTGGTCAGTACACATACACCTTGAACCTATAGCCTTTATATAGTGTTGTGCCTCAAAAGGTTTAAACATAGGTTTTAGGAACAAAAGCTGGAAGGATGAGTGGACTTACTCACCATCACACACAATGATATCCTCAGGGAATCTGTGCTTTTTGTCGCTGGAAACCGGAAGCTTCTAGTATCTATTAAAGAAATTGAAATCAGTGTGAATTCTTTAAATAAACCTCAAGACTCAGATGATTTAACTGTGATTTCTACAAACAAACATTTAACAATATTTTTTATATAAATTCTTGTCAGAGGTTGCCTGGGTGGCTCAGTCGGTTAAGCGTCCAACTTCAGCTCCGGTCTTGATTTCATAGTTCATGGGTTCAAGCCTCGCGACGGGTTCTGTGCTGACAGCTCAGAGCTTGAAGCCTGCTTCAGATTCTGTGTCTCCCTCTCTCTCCCTGCCCCTTTCCTGCTCATGCTCTCTTTCTGCCTCTCCCCTGCTCACACTCTATCTCTGTCTCAGGAATAAACATATATAAAAAAATTTTTTTTAATAAAAAACAAAAAAAAGAAATTCTTGTTGGGCATCAAAAATAAGGCATGTTGGGGTGCCTGGGTGGCTCAATCAGTTAGGTGTGTGACTCTTAGTTTCAAGTCAAGTCATGATCTCATGGTTTGTGAGTTCAAGCTCTACAGTGGGCTCTAGGCTGTCAGTGCAGAGCCTGCTTGGGATTCTCTGTCTCCCTCTCTGTCTGCCCTTCCTGCACTCTCTCTCTCTCAAAAATAATATAAATAAACAAAAAAATAAGGTATGCTATCTAACTCATTATTCAAGGAAGTCCTTAATACCAAATATGACCACAGTTGTATAGAAAAAGTTTATGACAACTATAAGGAGGCAAAAATTCTAAATCAGATATTAGCAAACAATACAATCCCCATCAAAATTCCAATGACATTTTTCACAGAAATAGAAAAAATAATCCTAAAATTTATATGGAATCACAAAAGATCCCAAATAAAAAAAGTCATCCTAAGAAAGCAGAACAAAACTAGAGGTATCACATTTCCTGATTTCAAACTTTATCATGAAACTACAGTAATCAAAACAGTTATCAAAAAATTAATAATAGAATTACCATATGAGCCAGCAATCCCACTGTGGATATACTTCTGAATGAAATGGAAGCACTATCTCGAAGAGATATTTGAACCCCACGTTCACTGCAGCATGATTCACAGTAGCCAAAATGTGGAAACAACCTAATTTTTATCAATGGATTAATAGACAAAGACGATGCGTGTGTGTGTGTGTGTGTGTGTGTGTGTGTGTGTGTACTATTGTATAGACAATGGAATGGAATATTACTGAGTCATGAAAAAGAAGGGAATCCTGTCATTTGCAACCACATGGATGAACACTGAGGGCATTTTGTTAAGTGAAATAAGTCAGACAGAGAAAGATGAATAGTGTATGTTCCCACTTACATATGGAATCTTAAAAAGGTAAGGTCATAAAAAAAGAGTATAATGGTGGTTGCCAGGGACTAAGGGGTAGGGGAAATGGAGAGATGTTGGTCAAAGAGTACAAATTCTCAGATATAAGATAAGTAAGATATGGGATCTAATTAATGCACAACATGGTGACTATAATTAAAATGCTGTATTACATACTTCTAAGTTGTTAAGAGAATAGATCTTAAGTGTTATCACCACACACACAAAAGTAATCACAATTATGTAAAAGGATGGAGGTGTTAACTAATCTTATTGTGGAAATAATTTTACAAAGTATACATGTATCTAGTCATCACATTGCACACATTAAACTTACATATGTTATATGTCAAAAAGATTTCAATAAATCTGGAGAAAAAAAGATCATGTCATCTGCAAAGAAAGATAATTTTACTTCTTCCTTTCTAGTTTGGATGCCTTCTATTTCTTTTTCTTGCTAATTGCTCTGGCTAGGACTTCCAGTACAATGCTGAATAGAACTGGTGAAGGAGTGCATTCTTGTCTTGTTCCCAATCTTAGCAGAAAAGCTTTCAACCTTTCACCATTGAGTGTGAAATTAGCTGTGAGTTTTTTATTTATGGCCTTTGTTTCATGGAGGTAGTTTCCTTCTACTTCTACTTTGTCGAGGGTTGTTAACATGAAAAGGTGTTGAATTTTGTCAGATGTTTCTTCCTTATGAATTGAGACTATCATTTTTCTCCCCTCCATTTTGTTAATGTCATGAATTACATTGGTCGATGATCATCCCTTAATCTAGGGGAGCGGGCAATGTGGCTTTTTCTTGATTGGGGTTCACTTGACTGTTGTGTTTACTTTGTTTTCTAGAGGTTCTATAAGATTATTTTAGTCATATTATTATTATTATTGTTGTTGTTGTTATTATTATTTTAATGTCTCTATGAGGGAACAAGGGCTTGGAGCTTCTAGTCTGCCATTTTGTGGGCATTATCTTCATAGTGAATTCTGTTTTGATCACACATATTATTTGTATTGGAGTCAAGCAAAATGTAATATAATTTTCCTGTGCTGGTATGTTCCCCCCTGCTGTTGGCCATGCAGATACTAGGTAGGCCAAAGGAGACCACTGGCATGGTCATATCAGCTTTCCTAAGCTTCCTTAACCTATTTCCTATATTCCTGGAGAGAGGACTGCTCTATTTTTTCTTTGAATTTCTATACAGCAGCCAACACTGAAGAGTCTTCTTAACAAATACATTTCCAAGGGCTATTCAACTCCAGCTTAAGAGGTGAGAAGGTAGCAACAAATAAGGCAGGCTGTAGACTAAGTTTGAGGAAATAGAGATGGTAATGTAAAAATGGCCAAGCAACTTACATCTTACTTCATCCAAATACCATGTACACAAATGGCTTGAACTTGTCTTCTTACAAGATTGTCCAAGATGTGTTTGAAATCATTCTTTGATTACTTCAATGATTCAACAATTATTTCCTATTCACTATTATGTAAGACACCTTTTACTGGGAGGCTTATCTTTGGGTATTTACAACATTTATTACAAAAGGAAGTTTATGACTAAACATGGAAGTGGTGAAGATCCCTTTTACTCTGCCCTATTGTCCTTTACTTCGCTCTTAATCCTTTCCAGTTATCATTTCTTGTAAATACTGCTTTGTTGAGTGTTCCTCATTCTTTTTCCCTCTATGGTTATCATTCACTGCAGCTAGTATGTTTCCTAAGGCTTAAGGTGTTACCTGATAAAAAGTATGTCCTGAAAAGAGGCAGCTCATTCAGACAGAAGATAATGTATATGATGTGTGTTGGCCATATGTGTTAGGGAGATTTCATGGGGAAGTAGGGCTTATCCCTGCTTCTTTCCTTTACCAGAACATGCATATGGACAGTATGAGATGCATTCCTCTGAGTGATATCAATGGGTCACTAGGGACTGATTCAGCTACTGGACTTTCACTCCAATGGCTTTGGTTGGGGAAAGTAGAAGGTGGCTAAACTTTGACTCACAACCGTTAAGAAAATAGAACTGTGCCCTAAAGGCTTTAGAGAGAATGAAATCCAGAATCATGATACCTCCAGTTTTGTTTTTCTTTTTCACGACTGCTTTGGCTATCTGGGGTATTTTGTGGTTCCATACAAATTTTAGGATTGTTTGTTCTAGCTTTGTGAAAAATGTTGGTGGTATTTTGATAGGGATTGCATTAAAATGTGTAGACTGCTTTGGTAGTATAGACGTTTTAAGTATGTTTGTTCTTCTAATCCATGAGCATTGAATGCTTTTCCATTAAGAGCCATATTACAAAGCTGAGTCATCAAGATACTATGGTGCTGGCATAAAAACAGACACATTGATTAGTGCAACAGAATAGAAAACCCAGAAATGAACCCCAACTATACAGTCAACTAATCTTTGATAAAGCAGGAAAGAATATCCAATGAAAAAAGAGTCTCTTCAACAAACGGGGCTGGGAAAACTGGACAGCAATGTGCAGAAGAATAAAAGTGGACCACTTTCCTACACCACACACAAAAATAAATTCAAAATTGATGAAAGACCTAAATGTGAGACAGGAAACCATCAAAATCTTAGAGGAGAACACAAGCAGCAACCTCTTTGACCCTGGAGCAGCTTCTTACTAGACACATCACTGAAGGAAAGGGAAACAAAAGCAAACATGAACTATTGGGACTTCAAGATACAAAGCTTCTGCACAGTGAAGGAAACAATCAACAAAACTAAAATGCAGCCTATGGAATGGGAGAAGATATTTGCAAACGACATATCTGATAAACGGTTAGTATCCAAAATATATAAACAACTTATCTAACTCAACACCCAAAAATCAAATAACCCAGTTAAGCAATGGGCAGAAGACATGACATTTTTCCTAAGAAGACATCCAGATGGCTAATAGACACATAAAAAGATACTCAACATCACTCATCATCAGGGAAATACAAATTAAAACCATAATCAGATACCACCTCACACCTGTCAGAATAGCTAAAATTAACAACTAAGGCAACAACAGGTATTGGTGAGCATGCAAAGAAAGGGGAACCCTCCTGCACTGCTGGTGGGAATGCAACTGGTATAGCCACACTGGAGAACAGTTTGGAGGTTCCTCAAAAAGCTAAAAATAGAACTACCTTTGAAGATCTGGGGTTTATGTGGTGGGCTCTGTGCTGGGAGTTAGATTCACAATGATGAAAAAGTCTGAGCACCTGAGATCAAGAGAGGAGGAGAGATGCCTATAAACAGGCTATTTCTTTTTTTTTTAAATTTTTTTTTCAACGTTTATTTATTTTTGGGACAGAGAGAGACAGAGTATGAACGGGCAAGGGGCAGAGAGAGAGGGAGACACAGAATCGGAAACAGGCTCCAGGCTCCGAGCCATCAGCCCAGAGTAAACAGGCTATTTCAATGTCACAATTAGTAAAAAGTGCTCTAACAGGAGTGACGATAAGGAACACAGAGGAGGAACAGATCAACTGCCTCCTTGGGAAGTCAGGACAGATAGGGGCTAGCAAATAATGAGAATGTAGTATGGTGGCAGGATGTCTGTATGCAATATACAAAGACACAGAATCCAAAGATAACATGTGCAGCTTGCAGAATCACAAGTAGTTCATTCTAGCTATATCACATTCTACAGCACAAGGCAGCTGGAAAAGGAATTCCGGAAAAATCTAGTTGATACTGAAGAACAATTTTTCTAATTCACTCCCTTTATAAGCATGGGGCTGGAACATAGAGGCATTCTAGCAAACTTCCCAAGTGACTATATAGCAAAAGAAATTAGATTTCACGTACAGCATGGTGATTATCATTAATAATAGTGTTGTATGTTTGAAAGTTGCCAGGACAGTAAATCTTAAAAAGTTCTCATCACAAGAAAAAAAGTGCAACTGTGCATGGTGATGGGCGGCAACTAGACTGGGGGTGACCATTTCCCAGTGTATATAAATGCTGGATCAGTATGTTGTACACCCGAAACTAATATAATGTTATATGCCAATCATACCTCAGTAAAAAAAGAAATTAGAGACTGGAACATCGAAAGGTCATAATTAAAGCAAGATTAGGATGCATATCTTATGGTTTTCAGCTCCCTGTTGTAATCAGCAGACTCTTCCTACTGCACTGAGGTATGCTGTTTCAAGGAGCATAACTGCTTCCACCCTATTACTAAATGTTCCCTTTCCATGTATTTTTATTTTAGTTTTAATTTTAGCAGTTTTAAGTCTTTATTTCTGAATATGTAACAGTAATACCATACAAAATGTAAGAGGCATGGAGAAGAATATATGACATAAAGTTAGCTACCCTCTCAAGCCTCACATCAACTACACAGGTCCATCCTCAGTCACAATCATAGTTACTAGTTTATATTTTTCCTGAGACATGTAAAATACATGTGCATATTCATTATATTTAAATTTTCTAGTAGCAACTATGCATACTTTCCAGATGTTTTTTTACTTTATGCTAAATCTAGAGATCTTCTCATATTAGTACAGAGTTTTCCCTTTCATTGTAGTGACCATAGAATACTCTTGTACAAATGCCCCATGATTTCTATTACCAGCACCTGACAGTTGTTTTCTGATTTTGTGCCATACACATGTGCTGTAACATATATCCTAGCACGTATGACATTGGCACACGTACAATTAAATCTATAAGATAAATTCCTAAATTTGAACTTGCTGGATCAAAGGTATGTGCATTTAATACCTTGATATAGAATTGTTCCAATCTGTACTTTCTCGAAAATATGGGAAATTTCCTATTTCTCCAAATCCTTGGCAACTTAGTATCCCATCAAATGTGTTTTTCTTTGCTAACCTTACGGATGAAACAGGAACCTCAAAACTTTATTTTGTGTATCTCATATTATTAGCAAAGTTGAATATATTTCATTTCTTCTAATATATTTGCCCATTTTGGGGGGACAGGGGTGTTCTTTTTCCCACTGCTTTAAAGGGATCATTATGGGGGCGCCTGGGTGGCGCAGTGGTTGAGCGTCCGACTTCAGCCAGGTCACGATCTCGCGATCCGTGAGTTCGAGCCCCGCGTCGGGCTCTGGGCTGATGGCTCAGAGCCTGGAGCCTGTTTCCGATTCTGTGTCTCCCTCTCTCTCTGCCCCTCCCCTGTTCATGCTCTGTCTCTCTCTGTCCCAAAAATAAATAAAAACGTTGAAAAAAAAATTTAAAAAAAAGGGATCATTATGGCTTAAAGAAATTATATTATTTTTTCTGATACATATTAAAATGAATTCCTCATTTTGCCATCTTTACTTTGCTCATGTTTTTCTATGAAGAACTTTTTTTCTTAGACAAATGAATTCATCAGTATTTTCTTTTATCTACCTCAGTATGACTTATTTCATTTAGCATAATACCCTCTAGTTCCATCCAGGTTGTCCCAAATGACACAATCTCATCCTTTTTTATGGCCATGTAATACTCCATTGTGTGTGTGTGTGTGTGTGTGTGTGTGTGTGTGTGTGTGTGTATACATACATACATATATATATACATATACATATATATATATACACATATACATATATATATATATATATATACACACACACCACATCTTATCTGTTTATCAATGGACACTTAGATTGCTTTCATATCTTGGCTACTGTAAATAATGCTAGAAGAAACATGGGGGAGCACTTTTTGAATTAGTGTTTTTGTTTTCTTTGGGCATATACTCTGTAGTGTAATTACTGGATCATACAGTATTTCTATTCTTAATTTTTTGAGGAACCTCCATACTGTTTTCATAGTGGTTATATCAATTTACATTCCCATCAACAGTGAATGAGGGTTCCTTTTTCTCCACAACCTTGCCAACACTTGTTATTTCTTGTCTTCTGATTTTAGTCACTCTGGTGTGAGGTAGTATTTCACTATAGTTTTTTTTTTAACTTTTTTTTCAACGTTTATTTATTTTTGAGAGAAAAAGACAGCATGAGTGGGAAAGGGGCAGAGAGAGAGGGAGACACAGAATCCAAAGCAGACTCCAGGCTCTGAGCTGTCAGCATAGAGCCTGATGTGGGGCTCAAACTCACAAGCTGTGAGATCATGATCTGAAGTCAGATGCTTAAGTGACTGAGCCACCCAGGCACCCCTATCTCACTGTAGTTTTGATTTGATTTCACTCATAAGTGGAATCTAAGAAAAACCACAAATGAATAAACAAACAAAAAGTAGTACCAGACAGAGAACAAACACCATTGTTCAAACACCATTGGCTGAATATCCCATATTCCTTCACACAAGAAAATGCCCAAATTATCTGCTGAATTTCTGCATGACTTTGCACACATTTCTTTTCTTTTCTTTTTTAAATTTTTGAGAGAAAGAGAGAGTGCGAGTAGAGGGGGAGAGACAGAAAGAGAATGAAAGAGAATCTCAAGCAGGCTCCATGCTCAATGTGGATGGAGTCCCAGATGGGGCTTGATCCCACAACCATGGGATCATGACCTGAGCTGAAATCAAGAGTCAGATGCTCAACCAACTGAACCACCCAGAAGCTTCATGCACCAATTTCTAAACTTCCAAGTCTGTTTTGTCATTGTTTCAATATTCAGATGTTAGTACCACAATGCTAATTCTTGGGATGTTTTAACATGTGGCTAAAGCTAGTTCCCTTTCATTTGTCTTTTTTCAGGATTGCACTGGATATTTTTGTTTTTGGCTTTTCCATAAAACTTTCAGAATTAATTTATCTACTTCTTGAAAAATTATGTTTGACATATTTTTGGATCACATTAAATGTCCATATTAACTTAATATTGAAATTTTAATTTCTGTCCATTTTTATAAATTGTGTCTTACATAGCATTTAAAAAATTTTGTTCATGTAAATTTTACGTACTTCATGATTTTATTCTGTAGTATCATATTGCTTTTGATGTTACTGGAAATTTGATCTTTTTTTCCACTGTATCTTTTAATTTGCTTCTCATTTCTCCAAATTAATTTTGTCAACATGAAGTTTATCTTTTCTGGGTAAGACCTTCATATATTTAGATAATTACTTTTTAAACTTTTGTTAAGTGAAACTAACATGACACATATACCTCAAAAATGAGTCACAGCATAACAAGTCTCATTCTATAATTTCCTAACAGGAATTATGAGCTTATTTCATTTGTGATCCCAGAACTTTAAATCCTTCAAAAGCAGTTTTTCTTGGGTTTCTAAAAGGGAGAGTTCACTTTTGAAAGTCCCCAATTATCAAGTTGGGTTTCACTTTTAACACTAGCAGCTAAGCTAAGCATACCCATCTTCATACCTTCTTCTCTATCTTCATAGTGTTCCTTGATGGGGTTTTTCAATATATCCATGTATTTGAAACTGATGGTAAGAGTATCTATGGCATGTAACTTCCTAATTTTCTCAGGATCATCTCACTGAGGGTGGGGAGATGCTGAGTCAAGACTGAGAACTATTACAGAAATGTGTTCCAGTTCTAACGATGCCCTTTGGGAGAGAATGTAGGTTTGGTTCTAACTAATTCTCAGTTCTGTTTGAGGTATGATGGCCAAAACCATCTACAAAAAATGAGAATTGCTAACACTGTGCAGAAAACAGGCTATCAAGCTGCATACTGGAATAAGGAAGACTATTCCCTTGGGCTTTATAGAGTAACACACAGATCTGGAAACAAATACAGCAAGTTATAGGGCTTTCAGAATTCTGTATTTCATATCAGGAATAATCTGATACTTTCAGAACCCAGTAGATGTATTTTAGATGTATCTGATGGTTACACTAATATCCTAAAGACTATAGTATTGAGGTCCTACCCAATCCAAGCATTAAGAGAACATGCTGTAGTCACTACAAACAGTAACCTACCAATCTGCGGATGTTATTTGTTCATTTCAAAGACGAACACTAGAGGGGCACCTGGGTGGTTCAGTCAGTTAAGCATCCACCTTTGGCTCAGGTCATGATCTTGTGGTTCATGAGTTCGAGCCCCGCGTTGCACTCTGGGCTGACAGCTCAGAGACTGGAGCCTGCTTCAGATTCTGTGTGTGTGTGTGTCTCTCTCTGCCTCCCCTCCCTTCCCCACCCTACTGGAGTTCTGTCTCTCTCTTAAAAATAAATAAATATTAAAAAAAAAAAAAAAGACTACCACTACAGAAAGTGTTGGAGTTGTGTGGATTTAAGGACCTCAGCAGGATCCAGAAGGATTTGAGGTTCTAAGGAATTATATACTTTTTATGATTCTCCCTGGGATCTTGATTTCTATTAGTATTGGCTCTCCCCTTCCTCAGGAACCAGGGCACTGTCCATGGAGCACTGCCCAGCTCTGTGCAAGGCTTACCTTCAGCTTGTGCATCAGCACTTTTTCCTGCTCTCTCAGAAGGCTTTCTATTTCCTTCTCCAACTTCTCTCTCATTTGGGGTATGTTTTCCCTGAAGCTTCTCTCTTGAGACTCCATTTTTTGTGGCTGCTCTTTGTGTTTCTGAGTTAGCAGCTCCTGCTCCTTCTCAGTTGCCTGCTTCTTAGCCCGCTCAGCTGTTCCATGAATGGTTTAGAGAGAGAAGAAAGCAATGGTCAGTTCTGATGATTTTATTCTGCAGTATCTCATCTGTTTTGCTGCAATTGCAAATTCAGCTTTTCCTTACATTTATCTTTTATTAAAATTATTATTATTTTTTTAATATTTATTTTCCACAGACAGAGAGAGAGAGAGAGAGAGAGAGAGAGAGAGAGAGAGGGAGGATGAGTGGGGGAGGAGCAGAGAAAGGGAGACACAGAATCCAAAGCGGGCTCCAGTATCCGAGCTGTCAGCACAGAGCCCGATGTGGGGCTCGAATTCACGGACCACAAGTTCATGACCTGAGCCAAAGTCGGACTCTCAACCCACTGAGCCACCCAGGCCCCCTACATTTATCTTTTAACAATCTTGTTTACCATTTCTTTTATTTGATCAAAATGAAGTATGTCTTTTGTATGTCAGGCCTTAGTAATCATTAATCACTGTTGATCTTTAAACTTTTGTTAAAAGAAACTAATATGACACGTGCTTCCAAAATAAGTCACAGCATCACAAAAACCCTCATTTTATGAATCCCTAAAAGGAATTCTGAACCTATGTCATTATGAGCTGAGAATCTTCATCCCCAAACCAGGTAACTCACTATGATCCGGCGTTTCTTTACTGAATACTCCATCAGTCACATCAATAATCCACTGACCCAACAAATATTTATCTTTGTTTGCCACAATCTCTTTTTTTAGTAGCTGTATCTCTCTACGCAACTTCTCAGATTTCTTTTCAAATCCCTCATTACGAAGTTCTTCTTGGACCTATAAAAAAGAAAGAGTTCACTTCTGAAAATCTCTATTATCAAAAGCAAGGGTTTTGAGTCTAACAGTTTCAGCACTGAAGAACCATGTCTACTGCACTATCACCGAGAGTGCTCTTTGATGAGTCGATCCTGGAGAGTGGGAGTATCCATGGTTTACACCTTCCCACAATTCCCTCAGCACCATCTCACCAAGAGTGGGGTGGGGTCAGGCTAGATCAGACCTAAGAACTATCCTCTTAGTTCCAGCAGTGAGGATGTCCTTCAGGGGGATGTAGGATTAATTCTATTTCTCAGTTCCACCAAGGTAGCATGAACACACACGTCTAACAAAAATGGGAAGTGCTGATCCCCTCTAGAACACTGGCTGTCAAGCATCAGACTGAGTCGAAGAATTACTTGTCCTCTGTGCTCTGTCGGACGACTCACACAGATTTGGAAACAAATGCAGCAAATTTTAGAGCTTTCAGAATCCTGTATTTCAAGTCTTTCTGATACTTTTAAGATAAGCTGGAGTTCTTTTAGGTCTGTTTGATGGCTGAACCAAGAATCCTAAGGACGAGCAGACTAGGGCCTTATTTAATTTGGGTCCAATGAAACCATCCTAACAATCACCACAAACAGCAGCCCAGCACCCTTAGGGATGTTAATTGCATACTACAAATTCTCTAACTACATAAGCCTTTGGAATTTGTGGATTTAAGAGCCCCAGCAGGGTCCAGAAAGATCTGAGGTTTTAATGAATCGTATGTCTTTTATGATTCTCCCTGGGATCATGATTTTTAATAGTTTGGCTCTCTCCTTCTTCAGGAACCAGGGCACTGTCCATGGAGCACTGCCCAGCTCTGTGCAAGGCTTACCTTCAGCTTGTGCATCAGCATTTTTTCCTGTTCTCTCTGAAGACTTTCTCTTTCCTTCTCCAACTTCTCTCTCAGTTGGGCTATGTTTTCCCTGAAGCCTCTCTCTTGAGCCTCCATTTTTTGCAGCTGCTCCTTGTGTTTCTGAGTTAGCAGCTCCTGCTCCTTCTCAGCTGCCTCCTTCTTAGCCCGCTCAGCTGTTCCACGAATGTTTTAGAGAAGAAAGCAACAGTCAGGTCTGATTCTACTCTCCTTAGCACAGATACCAAACTGACTTTGAAAAGGAAGCTGAGAAGCCCCCAAATTATGTGGGTCACCAAGAGCACATTTCAGAATATGATGGAGATGGCCCTCCTTGTCTGCCTGATATAAAAAGACAACTCTGACTGTTATATGTGTATTTAGCAGTGTTGTTCCACAGTAGGAGAGGAAGCTCTTTGTTTCATGCAGGTTTTGCCCTCATTTCTGTCTGGAGGTAGTGCAGCAACCCACCCACTCTGCTATGAGCTCAGCCCTGCACCTGTACCTGCGAGCGCCTTCTCTTGACAGGTGAGGGCTTTGTCTCCCTGCAGGATGGATTTCTCTATTGCCACTTGGGACTGTAAGAAGTGCTGGAGAACTTCATTTGCCTGAGGAAACAAGGAGAAGAGACATGACATGCAGCACACATTGTGTCTTTTGGGGGAAATTATTGTTCTACAAAGTCACAAATCTGGCCTTGTAAATTTTTCACTTGCTTAGATATCCCTTACTAACTTTCCTTCTATGCCTCCAATATAAATTCTGAGTTCTTCTGTGAGACCTGAAACCTTCCACTGCAGCCTCCTTTGCAGCCCTCCATCCTTCTTTCCAGTGAAGCTTTCCACTATCCACCCCAGGTGCCGCCCAGCAGACTTCAGTGTGTATATAAACAGGGACTCCTGTTTCCTCAAACATTTGCTCAGTCTATTTTCTGCCAGGATGCTCATCTACCCTTTCTTAACTAGGATAACATTTATGGATACTTCATCCTGTAACTCCTATTGCTCTTTCAGAGTGCTTTGCTAAGCTACCTTTCCAGTTTGGAGGATGGCCAATTACTCTGAGCGGCCCTACCAGCTCTCCCTTTGCTGGTAGTATGACTCTGGGCAACTTTTTACTTCTTTGTGTATTGCATTTCTCAACTGCATAACTATAGTATCTAAGTTATAATAATATTCTGAGCATTAAATTGACAATCCAAAATAATCCAAATACCTGATTATAGGTTATTTACTATATGCATGGCATAGTAAGGGGTGCTGAACATGTCTACTAGTTTTTTTTGAGAGAGAGAGAGAGAGAGAGAGAATGCAAATGAGCAGGGGAAGGACAGACGGACAGGGAGAGAGAGAGAATCTTATGCAGGCTCCACGCCCAGCATGGAGCCCAATTCAGGGCTCAGTTTTATGACCATGAGATTATGACCTGAGCTGAAATCAAGAATCGGACACTTACCTACTGAGCCACACAGGGGCCCCATCAACCAATATCATAATGATTGTTATCATCAATAATCATTACCATTATTTTACTATCTGCTCATCAAAGTATGATAATTATATATTTGCCCAATTTTTTGTCTTCACTTCAGGTAATATCATCATCTTGAGAATAACGGTTGTGTTTACTCTTTGTATCCTCTATACTTAGCAAAGAAATGGCCACATTGTTTGATAAAGAAAAGTTGTTCTCTTTAACCCAGAATTCCCGAAATATTGCAAATATATTTCCAGTTCCTTCAACAACATATAACTAATTGTGGATAAAAACTAAAAGTGTGGAGATATTGCCCTGCTCTGCTTTCTCCATAAAAATGGTGCTATGACCTTAGATTTTCAGAAAAAGCAACAAACACCCTTTGACTCTACGGTTCTGACAGCTATCCCTCCCTCTTTATTCCTTACCTTAACCCCTTTCCTGGGCACTAGGTTATAGTCCCATTCAACCTTATTCTTTGCTTCTAAGTAGAGACTGTGTCCTCCAGGAACACAGAAAGTTCCTGTTGAGATGCTTTTCATCAGGGGCTCTGTAAGTTGCTGAAGCTTTGCCTGGGAATATTTAACAGATGTGTATTCATTCTGCAGCAAGAAATCTTTCTTCTTTTTTTCTATCATGTCCTGCCAGAGAAATGGGGGAGAAATCCAATAGAAAGAAGCTATTAGAAGGGGAAATCCAATGTCATCCTCTTAGAAAAAGCATTCTGATCACCCACGAGTAGACCGGAACATGGGATGGACCAGAAGTCAAAAGACTTTTAGTCCTAGTTCTAATCAATTCTGTGTTACTTGGGGAAAGCCCCTTAACTCCCTTGGATTCAAGCTTATCAACTATAAAATGATGGTGTTGGAAGACATAAACTCCAATTTTCCTTCTACTGTAGTATGATTAACAGTGACCCAACCATCAATAATAAACAATAGAAAGTTGATTTGTGGCCAGAAGTAGCACTTCCTCAGAGGATTTGGGTTGCTACAAATGGATTTTGTGTACAAAGAAAATCAACCCCCCCAGTGCTGACTGAAGAATACTCTGAAGAGAGTTTGGAATCCTTAATGAATTCTTCCAATAGGATTCTAGTATGTGAAGATATAAAAACAGAACTTTTTTCTTTGAACTTGTAAATTGTAATCCAAGGGATTGGATACACCAACAACCTTAATGAACTGGAGGCTCCTCAGAGGCCTGCAGATGAGAACTCAGTCCTGTTGACACCTTGTTTTAGCCTGTGATACCATGAACAGAGCACAGGACCATTCCACACCAGACTTCTGACCTACAGATTGGTGAGCTTATTCATATTTGTTGTTTTAAACTGGTGAATTCATGGCAATTTTTAGTGCAGCAATAGAAAATTAATGAACTGCCTACATTACAGTAAAAGGGTGAACTGTAGCCTTGTAAAGCCCTGTCTCACAACAATCCAGGCTCCTTCTATCATTGTAGAGATGAGCTATTTAATAAAAAATATAGGCTCTAAGCATCATTTCAGAAGGGGAGAAATCAGGAGTGATAAATTACCATGAGGTTTTCACTATAAGACAATTACCATGAGATTTTTCTGGAACTCCTGCTTGTCATCCTTAAAGGAATGCTCCATGAAGACTGCAATGGCTTCCCTCTCGCAGTCTGTATGCACATCCAGCAGCTCCTGGAGCGTGTCTGTGGGGAAGCTCACTCGTTGGGCCATCTGCTCGCTGTAGTGGTCGGCTGCCTTCTGCACGGCCACTGAGTTCTCACGCTGGGCAAGAGCTGTCACCACATTCTCCAAGCAAGGAACTTCTCCCGTCTTGATGGCAACCACATAGGCTTTCAACAGAGTCTCCAGCCCTGAATAGGCCAGGAAATTTGAGGATAAATAGTGAGGTCTTAATCACTGGCTTCCAGTTTTTATGGAGCATCATCCTGAGATCACAAAAAAAAAACCCCACCTTATTTAGAAGGAAACTTTATTTTTTTCTTTGGGAATCTATTCCTTTCTAACAACATTACTGTTTTCCTGTTCTTTCTTTTATTGTTCTCCATTTCTTCATATTATAATTTAAATTACCAGTTACAACAAATATGCTCATGGGTCACTGGAAAAATAGTTTCCCATTCAATGAGAATAAAAAGGAATAGGTTATATAGGTGAAGTAGTGTATACAAACAAGACCAGATACATAATTTGTGTGGCCCAGTACAAAATAAAAATGTGGGCTCCTAGTTGAAAATGATCAAGAATTCAAAACAGCGATAGACAGATGTCTGGGTGGTATAGCTGGTTAAGCAACTGACTCTTGATTTCCACTCAGATCATGATCTCATGGTTTAAGCTGAAGCCCCACATCGGATTCTGCACTGACAGCCTGGAATACTCTCTCTCAAAATAAATAAATAAACTTAAACAAAACAAAATAAAACAGAGTCAGAGTATGAGCCCATCTCCACATGGGACTACATAAGTCACATACCCATGAAGCATGCATGCCCTGCATATAAGATTATACATAATCTTCTATCTCAACAGGCTTAAAGGAATTTATAGCTTCCTATTTATGATATGACTCATGTAAGTTTACAAAATATCTACTATATCCTTAAAGACCAGAAGATATCCCATAGGATTTCTCAATCTACAGATGTCCTCTCTTTAACTCCATCTTGGCTTTGTGTAACTAGTGAATTAAGGTTCTGAGATATATTAAGTCTCAGCAAACCCTCACATAGGGAGACTAATTAAGAAACATGTATGAATACTTTTCATGGCATGAATATCTGCTTCTCCATAGTCAGTTGACATCTGACAAACAGATGTCAACAAAATTACTGCCAAAGTCAGAGTATACTCAAAGCTCCACCACGCACACTGATACAGAGACATGCTGTGGGACAAAGGTGACTCACGGTTCCCAGTGACAATGATTCCCTCTCGTAGGGTCTTGGTCTTTGTATGAGTGAAAACATAGGTACGGAATTTGTTTGATTGTTCCCGGAAACTACTGTCCAGCTGGTCTTCTGGCACGTTCTCAATATGGGCTAAGAGATTTTTGTCATTTGTAGGCCGGTCAAAGATGAAGCACTTCCGTTTTGGAAAGAACTGTCTGATACACTCTCTGGACATGTTGGAATTTTGGATTTTGGGATTTGTGCCTACAAAGGTGGAAAAAAATTGATCACTGAAAGGCAGTCTCCAGGTAAGGGGGTGAGGACTTCATTTCCAGGAATCTTTGCATCACTGCAGCTCTTATGACTGTAAATCTCCTTTATTCTAATCATGTGTTTTACAAATCAATCTTGGACTAACATACCAAAGTTAAGGAAAATTCCTTGAACAGAGTTAAGAGTCAAGGAAGTACTTCAGGAGAGGAAAGAGAGGCATTCAGCCCAAGAGAAGAACCTTAGGATAGTTTCCTTAGCATTTTTATGGAGTCCCATGGATTAAATACTGAATACATGTTTAGTGATTAAGAAAAGAAGAGTCCGAGGCCCATAAATATAGAGAACAAACTGGTGGTTGCAGAAAGGATGGGGGTGGGGGAATGAGCAAAATGGGTGAAGGGGAGTAGGAGGTACAGGCTTCATGTTATGGAATGAAGAAGTCATGGGGATGAAAGACGCAGCAGAGGGAATATAGTCAATGGCATTGTAATAGTATTGTATGGTGATAGATAGTAGCTACTCTTGTCATGAGCATAGCATAATGTATAGAGTTGTCACATCACTATGTTCTACACCTGTAACAGTATGTGTCAACTATACTTCAATTAAAAAAAAGAAAAAAGAAAAAAAAAGGTCAGAGGTACTTTTCTGATCTTATTATTTCCATGGCAAAAATGAAATAATAGGCCTTGGGACACCTGAGTGGCTCGGTTGGTTGAGCATCTGACTTCATCTCAGGTCATGATCTCACAGTTCATGAGCTCAAACCCCGCAGGAGGCTCTCTTCTGTCAGTGTGGAGTCCAGTTCAGATTCTCTGTCCTCCTCTCCCTCCGCCCCTCCCCTGCTCACTCACTCTCAAAAATAAGTAAACACCAAAAAACAAACAAACAAACAAACAAAAAAAAAAACAAAAAAGAAAAAAGCAAAGCAAAGCAAAGCAAAGCAAAGCAAAGCAATATGGGCCTTGAAGTGATGCCAGAACAAACGGATAACATTTTGCTGGGGAAATGTGAGGAAGGAAACAGATGATACCCATGTCAGTAAAGAAAACTTTTATAAGCATAAGCCAAAATCAGATCATACCGCAAATATGTTTAGAGAGTCCTGTAACTGAAATCTCTAAAGTATACATTAATCTCAATGTAATTTGAGACCTCATCATTTCCCTATATCAGATTAATTTAGACTTCATAGAACAATTAAGAGCAACTCTATGGCACATATCAGCTGTTTAATAAAGAATAAAGTAATGAAAAAATAAAAATAGATATTCCCTATAGATGCCTTCTATTATCCACTCTGCTAAATATAATGTGACAAATTCATAATATTAAAATAGCATATTGTGTAAGGCTACAAAATGAAAAAGATGATGTTATAAGAAAGGTGACATGAAGGACTCACAGTTTTACTGGAAAGGTACGTCAACATTTTTTTCTGGACCTGTTAGTGTGGAAAATACCCTTTCTGTGAAGAATATAACTCTCTAGGTACTAGTAAAATATATTTTACTATTAAAATATACGTACTATTTTACTATTCCAATTACCATATTACTATTACTATTATATTTCAAAAATAAGGTAATTAATTTCATTGTGATTTTGTCTAGCAACTTCCAATCTGATTTTTTTTTTTTAAAGAAAGAACAGGAAGAACACTTAACAAGCTACAGAAATATGTGGGCCTCAAGAAGTTATAGCACTGATTGCAATCTGGGGATCTTTTTTCATGGCATTAATTAGCATTAAGTTATCTGATCCAAAATGGGGCCCTAAATTTCTTTAGTGACCTTAAGCTTCAATTGCTGGAGATTTTAAAGTAATAATAACCCACAAAACCCAATCACCATTGGCTTCAATCCAAATTCAAATAAACATATATGTCAAATGCTGATTGACAGGACTCAGCTGATCCCACCCAGTAAAAAAACCTTCTACCATTTAAGCCATACTCTGAGACCTGGAAGCAGCTTCAAGGCATCCTCCAGGTACTCATCTTCAGTTACGGAGTATCCATTTATCTTCATCTCCAATGTGAAATCTCGTAAAGCCCAAATAAAGTCTGGAAAGAAACTCACAAACTTGGCAGAGTCCTCTACCCCAGTGTAGTCTGAGGAGGACTTTTCCCTGACCAGCTGCGTTAGTTCAGTCATATAGCTGTGGGAACTCAGCTAAGGAAAAAGTACTTTACACCACAATTTCCAGATCTCAGATAGAAATACATTCTATAAACACTAATTTTTGTTCTCGGTGTCCCCTCACCCCCTTCTTCAACCATGACAATTAAGTCACAGGAAAGAGGACAGTCTCAGTTGCCATTCCTGTAAACTCAATAAAACTTGGTGGTTTGGTCCCTGGAAGGATACTGCAGCTGCTCCAGGGCCTGGCTGTTGATGGTGCCCATGCTGTTGTAGATCAAGGTGCTGCTCAGAAGCACAGTCAGGGCAAAGATCCATGAGTCATTCTTAGGGTCTTCCTGAAAAGCACATTGGACAAGGGACTTAGAAGGCTGCTCTTTATTCATTAATTCATTTTCATTCATTCAGCTTTTCATTCATTATTTTGTCACTATATATTGCTGAACAGTATGGCAAAGAATACAAGTTTTGAAGACCATCATAAATTCAACCTCATTTTGAGTATTAATACAATCCCCTCTCAGAGCCTCAGTATCCTAAGCTATTAAAAGAAGTGAATGACATGGTCAATATGTGTAGAATGTTTAATGCAGTGCCTAGAAGATAGTAGGTATACAATGTGAGCAATTATTCCTCTAACAAATTTTTCTTCATGTTGTCTGTATTTGCAACACAAATGTTGTTCAACAACTACTCTTTAGGCACCTACAAATGCCAGACACTGCATTTGGCTGTATGGATGAAAAGATCCACATGAGATTCCCTGAACTCAAGATGACTTTATGAAGGGACAGATAAACATGTCAACATATAAATGTAACCGAAATTATAATCTCTCGCATGGAAACAAGTATTGTACAACTTCAGAGCATATCTGCCAGGGATATGATGGATATATGATGAAATCTGGTGCACTTCAAAGAGTTGATAGAATGTGGACATGTAGATTTGAAGGGATCATGCAGCTTGCCAAGGCAGAATTATTAGAAAGTGCAGATCCTGAAAAACTGTTACAAAGTTACTTCTGTTTGACTGAAACAATGAGTAGGGGTGCAGATATGGAAGACAAAGCTAAAATTAAGATTCAGGGCAAGACCTGAAGTTCTCTGAAGACCAAGAAAACAGGGTCAGATATCTCAAATCACTCCACAATTCTAGCATTAGCCATTGGTTCTGCTGCCATCAGTTTACAGTATGGTATACTTTGTTGCCTTGTACAAATGCAGTATCTGCATTCTATGCTTACCAGACTTGATCTTGAAGACTAGAACACTTTTTCATATTTTTGGGAAAAATTATTTCTTCAAGTCCTTATTTCATTATCCCTAAAACTAATCAAATTTAGATTTTTTTTTTTTAAAGCAGGACTTGAGCCAAAAAACAATCTATTTAAATCTCAGGAAAATCATTTTGGCTTTTTTATTTGTTTGTATTTTCTTTTTTCTTTTTAAAATATATTTTAGTTAGTTAACATACAGTAGAATTTTGGTTTCAGAAGTAAAATTCAGTGATTCATCACTTACATACAACACCCAGTGCTCATCCCAACAAGTGCCCTTCTTAATGCACATCGCCCATTTAGCTCATCTTCCATCCACCTCTTTCCATCAACCCTCAATTTGTTCTCTACCATTAAGAGTCTCTTGTGGATTGTGGGACACCTGGGAGGCTCAGTTGGTTAAGCACCTGACTTTGGTTCAGGTCATGATCTCATAGTTTGTGGGTTGAGCCCAGTGTTGGGATCTGTCTAGATCCTGGACCCTGCTTCAGATTCTGTCTCTCTCTCTCTCTTTCTCTCTCTCTCTCTCTCTCTCTCTCTCTGTCTCTCTCTGTCTCTGTCTCTCCACAGCTCCCACTCTGTTGCTCTCTCTTTCAAAAATAAATAAACATTTAAAAAAAAAGACTTCTGGTTTGTTAACCTTTCTTCTTTCCCCCCACCCTTCCCTTCATCTGTTTTGTTTCTTAAATTCCACATGAGTGAAATCATATATTTGTCTTTCTTGGACTGACTTATTTCCCTTAGCATAATACATTCTAGCTCCATTCACATCATTGCAAATGGGAAGATTTCCCTTTTTTGATGGCCAAGTAATATTCTGTTGTATATACACACCACATCTTCTTTATCCATTCATCTTTCGGTAGACATGTGGGCTTTCCCCCTTGTTTGGCTATTGTTGATAATGCTGCAATAAACACTGGGGTGCATGTACCCCTTTGAATCTGTATTTCTTTATCCTTTCAGTAAACATATAATAGTGCAATTGCTAGATTGTGAGGTAGTTCTATTTTTAGTTTTTTGAGGAACCTCCAAACTGTTCTCCAGAATGGCTGCACCAGTTTGCATTCCCACTAACAGTGCAAGAGGGTTCCCCTTTCTCTGCATCCTCACCAATACCTGGCATTGTTTCTTGTGTTGTTAATTTTAGTCATTCAGTCAGGTGTGAGGTGGCATCTCACTGTGTTTTTGATTTGTATTTCCCTAATGATGAGTGTTGTTGGGTATCTTTTCATGTGTCTGTTAGCCATCTGGATGTTTTCTTTGGAAAAGTGTCTATTCATGTCTTCTGCCCATTTCTTAACTGGGGTGTTTGTTTCTTGGGTGTTGATTTTGATAAGTTCTTCATATATTTTGGATACTGTTTATCAGATATGTCATGTGCAAATATTTTCTCCCATTCTGTAGGTTGCCTTTTAGTTTTGCTGATTGTTTCCTTTGCTGTGTAGAAGCTTTTGTATTTGATGAAGTCCCAAGAGTTCATGTTTGCTTTTGTTTCCCTTGCCTTCAGTAATGTGTCTAGTAAGAAGTTGCTCCAGCCAAGGTCAAAGAAGTTGCTGCCTGTTTTCTCCTCTAGGATTTTGAAGGTTTCCTGTCTCACATTTAGATCTTTCATCTATTTTGAACTTATGTTTGTGTACGGTGTAGGAAAGTGGTCCAATTTCATTCTTCTGCATGTTGTCATTCAGTTTCCCCAACACCATTTGTTGAAGAGGCTGTCTTTTTTTCCATTGGATATTCTTTTCTGCTTTGTCAAAGATGAGTTGACTATATAGCTGTGTGTCCATTTCTGGATTTTCTATTCTGTTCCATTGATCTATGTGTCTGTTTTTGTGCCAGTATAGTACTGTCTTGATGACTACAGCTTTGTAATATAGCTTGAAATCCAGAAATGTGATGCCTCCAGTTTTTTAATTTTTCAGGATTACTTTGGCTATTCAGGGTCTTGGTGGTTCCATACAAATTTTAGGATTGTTTGATCTAGCTCTGCAAAGAAAGCTGGTGTTATTTTGATAGGAATTGCATTAAATCTGTAGATTGCTTTGAGAAGTGTAGACTTTTTTTTTTTTTGAGTTGTGTAGACATTTTAACAATGTTTTTTCTTCTAATCCATGAGCATGGAATTGTTTTTCCATTTTTTTGTGTCCTCTTCAATATCTTTCATAAGTCTTCTACACTTTTCAAAGTACAGAACTTTTACCTCCTTAGTTAGGTTTATTCCTAGGTTTTTTATTGCTTTTGGTACAATTGTAAATGGGACTGATTCCTTGATTTGTCTGTGTTTCATTATTCATGCTTCGTTATTTTTGTTCTCTGACTGCTGAGGTTAAGACTTACAGAACTATGTTAAATAGTAATGGTGAGAGTGGACATCTTTGTCTTGTTCCTGACTATAGGTAAAAGGCTCTCAATTTTCCCCCATTGATGATCATTCTTTCATATATGGCCTTTATGATGTTGAGGTTCCCTCTAAACCTACTTTGTTGAGTTTTTGTTTTATCAAGAATTGATGCTTTATTTTATCAAATGCTTTTTATACATTTTTTGATAGGTCCATATGGTTCTTATCCTTTATTTTATTAATGTGGTATATCACACTGATTGATTTACAAATATTGAACCAGCCCTTCAGCCCAGGAATAAATCCCACTTGACTGTGGTGAATAATTCTTTTAATGTACTGTTAAATTCAATTTGCTAGTATCTTATTGAGAATTTTTGCATCCATATTCATCAGGGATATTGGCCTGTAATTCTTCCAATTCTCTTTGTCTGGTTTTGGAATTAAGGTAATGCTGCTTCACAGAATGAGTCTGGAAGTTTCTGTTCCAGTTCTACTTTTTGGAACAGTTTGAGAAGAATAGGTATTAACTCTTCTCCCTCTTTCCCTCCCTTACTCCCTCCCTTCATTACATCCTTTTGTATTAACTCTTTTTTAAATGTCTTATAGAATACCCCCGAGAGAGGGAGACACAGAATCTGAAACAGGCTCCGGGCTCCGAGCTGTCAGTACAGAGCCCGATGCAGGGCTCGAACCCACGGACCATGAGATCATGACCTGGGCCGAAGTCGGACGCTCAACCGACTGAGCTATCCAGACGCCCCTAGAAGCTTTTTGATAACTGATTCAATTTCTTTTCTGGTTACGGGTCTGTTCAAATTTCCTATTCCTTCCTATTTTAGTTTTGGTAATTTGTGAGTTTCTAGGTATGTCCATTTCTTCCAGATTGCCCAGTTTGTTGACATATAATTTTTCACAGTATTCTCTTATAATTGTATTTCTGTGGTGTTGGTTGTGATCTCTCCTCTTTCATTTGTGATTTTATCTATTTGGATCCTCTCTCTTTTCTTGTTGAGAAATCTGGCTAGAGGTTTATCAATTTTGTTTATTCTTTCAAAGAACCAGCTCTTAGTTTCATTGATCTGTTATACTGCATTCTTTTGTTTCTGTATCATTTATTTGTTTTAATCTTTAATATTTCCCTTTTTATGCGGATTTAGGCTTTATTTGCTGTTTCTTTTCTAACTTCTTTAGGTTTAAGTTAAAATTGTATATTTGGTACCTTTCTTGCTTGTTGAGATAGGCCTGAATTGCAGTATACTTTCCTTATAGGACTGCCTTTGCTGCATCCCAAAGGGTTTGGACTGTAATGTTCTCATTCATTCTCTAGTAGGATGTTTTTTACCTTCCATGTATTTAAGGGCTTTCCAAATTTTTACTTGTGGTTGACTTCAAGCTTCATAGCACTGTGATCTGAAAATATGCATGGTATGATTTTGATCTTTTTGTACCTATTGAGGGCTGATTTGTGACCCAGTATGTGATCTATTTTGGAGAATGTTCCATGTGCACTTGAGAAAAATGTGTATTCTGCTGCTTTAGGATGGAATGTTCTCAATATATCCAGTCATCCAGTCCAATCCAGTGTGTCATTCAAAGCCACTGTTTTCTTGTTGATTTTCTGCTTAGGTATCTGTCCATTGTTGTAAGTGGGGTATTAAATTCCCCTACTATTATTGTATTATTATCAATGAGTTTCTTTATGTTTGTAATTAATTGATTTACATATAATGGGTGCTCAAGTTTGGGGGCATAAATATTTACAATTGTGAGACGTTCTTGATGGATACACTCCTTAATTATGATATAATGCCCTTCATCTCTTGTTATAGTCTCTGTTTTAAAATCTAGTTTGTTTGATATAAGGATGGCTATTCCAGCTTCCTTTTGACACCTAGTAGTATGATAGATGGCTCTCTATCCCCTCACTTTCAATCTGCAGGTGTCTTTAGGTCTAAAAATGAGTCTCTTATTGGCAGCATATAGATGGATCTTGTTTGTTTGTTTTTTAATCTATTCTGATACCATGTATCTTTTTATTGGAGTATTTAGTCCATTGACATTCAGAGTGATTACTGAAAGATATGAATTTAGTGTCATTGTGTTACACCTATAGAGTTGGTGTTTCTGGTGATGTTCTTTGGTCCTTTGTAGTCTTTATTGCTTTGGTCTTCTTTTCTTTTTTTTTTTTTTCTCCCCTCAAAGAGTCCCCCTTAAAATTTCTTGCAGGGTTGGTTTAGTGGTCACAAAATCCTTCTTTAGTTTTTGTTTGTCTGGGAAACCCTTTATCTCTCCTTCTGTTCTGAATGACAGCTTTGCTGGATAAAGAATTCTTGGCTGCATATTTCATTTTGGTTTTATACTGAAGTTATCGAGAACTTTAAAGCTGAGCACAAAAACTCTGAATACTTTTTCCCCACAATTATGGAAAACAGGTATTTACCATTGCTACTTGAATACAGACTCAGAATAATGTAAAATAAAATGGAGAAACAATTTGTTTCACTTAATATTTAAAAACAAAATACTAACATTATCTCAGGTAAAATAATTTCAGTGGGTCAAGGTCATTCTTTTATAGAAGTTAGAGAAGAGGTAATCTCCAAAACCAGAGACTTTAACTAAAACCCTTCATCAATGCTTCTGGTGTAGCTGAAGCTTTGTCTGAAGAGGATTTAAATAAATTATTTTACCAAAACCCTATTTAACAGCTCCTACTTCTAACTCCATCATTCCCACACACTTGAACTGGTAGTTTCCACTGGTCTCACGGGTTACAGTTTAGACATTACTTCTTCTAGGAATCTTTCTCCAAGCCATATGACTGGATTACTGCCTACATCTATGCATAGCACCCTGTACTGGTCGGTCACATTGTGTACATGTTGTCTCCCCAGCTAGGCTCTAGCCATTTGCCTTATTTACTGTAGTGTCTGTTGTACTTAGCACAGAGTCCTGAAATTCAGCTGTTTGGTTAAGTATTTATTAAACTGTATGTTTATCCAACTGTTACAGTAAGAAGATGTTGTTCTAATATACCCAAATATTTGAGCTGACCAAGGAATTAAGGGGAGTTTTTCCATGGGAAAAATAATTTAGTCTCATATTCATAATTGGATTTATAGCTTGTAGGAATAGGCAACACAATTTGAATTGAGGTAGCAAATGAATTACAGTCAAAAGAGCAGATTCCCTCATGACTTTTCCTTACCTTTTCCAAGTTACTTAGACCCTCAGTGTCCAGAAGGACCAGGGTGTGGTTCAGCTTAGAGGGGTGGGGTACACACCACATCCAAATACCCTTGGTTGTAGACCTCACTGTGGAACCCAGGGGGAAGCCTAAAAGAGAAGAGGGGAAAGCAACATGGATGTATGGGGATCCTTAGAGTTTAGTGGACTGAGGTTCAACACCTAGTGAAGCTGAGCAAAAAAGAAGGTAAGATATTTGGAATGTACTGGCTGCCTGGTCTACATAGAAAGAAATGAGTAATGACTAATGGGACCAGAGGAAGATTCTCCTAAAAATCAGTAAGAACTAAAAAAGACAACTCAATTACAATTTTTAAAACAATTTTTTTTTTTCAACGTTTATTTATTTTGGGACAGAGAGAGACAGAGCATGAACGGGGGAGGGGCAGAGAGAGAGGGAGACACAGAATCGGAAACAGGCTCCAGGCTCTGAGCCATCAGCCCAGAGCCCGACCCGGGGCTCGAACTCACGGACCGCGAGATCGTGACCTGGCTGAAGTCGGACGCTTAACCGACTGCGCCACCCAGGCGCCCCTCAATTACAATTTTTAAAAAGACTTGAGTAGGCATTTAATAAAATAGGAAATACAAATGGCAAATAATATGTGAAAGGGTGCTCAACCTTATTTATAGTGAGGCACATGCCATACAATCAAATAGTTATCACAACAGTAAAAGTTAAACATTTTTCTTAGGATGTGGGAATTCTTAATTGCTGCTAATAAATATGTAGCTTGAATAGAGAGTTGAAAAAGCCATTGATATTATCTGGAAGTCCTGAAGAAACACATACTCTTTGATACAGAGATTCCACTTCAGGATATATTATTTAAAAGAAATCTGTGTACATGTGTATCAGGATAAAATTATAAGAAATCTAAGACAACTCTGTTCATAAAAGGTAAAAGATACTATAATGCAGTGAGATAAGGAAATACAGCTACATGCTAAAAAATGGATAAATCTTATAAAATTCTTGTTGAGCAAAAGAAGCCATCAAAGAATACATAAAATTTAATTCTATTTATATCAACTTTAAAAGCAAGCCAAGATAAAGTGTGCTTTAGAAATGCAAACATAGACTAGAGCGCCTGGGTGGCTCAGTCAGTTAAGTGTCTGACTTTGGCTCAGATCATCATCTTGTGGTTTGTGAACTCGAGCCCTGTGTCAGGCTCTGTGCTGATAGTTCAGAGCCTGGAGCCTGCCTCGGATTCTGTGTCTTCCTTTCTGTCTGCCCTTTTCTTACTCATGCTTTGTCTCTCTCTCAAAAATAAATAAAAACGTTAAAAAAATTTTAAAAATGCAAACATAGACTACAAAACCATTTTTTAAAAGTAAAGAAAGAAGTATCATGAAAATAAAAATATTGTTTAGCGCTAGTGAGAATGTGAGAGCGTATGACTTGTGCCTTTGACAATGATTTATTTTTTTACTCAAGTCACGATTACACAAGTGTTCACTTTATTTACTTTATTGTACATTGTATTTTAGGCACTCTTTTGTATGTGTTATAGTTTACATATTTGTAAAAACTAAAAAAAGAGAGAGAGAGAAGGGGTTATAACATATGAAAATCTGTTATGACATGGAGCAGAAAAATAAAATGGTAGCTCTATGGAGATACAGAATAAAAAAGATTTTTCCCTTTTCCCTTCCTTCCTTTCCTCAACTTTAAAACGCAGGAAATATTAAACTACATTTGAAGCTTCTTGGAATGACATTATAGTTTTGGCAGAAGTGATGCAGGGGAAAGAAATAAAGTAGTAGCAGAGGCCGAACTTCTGAGCAAAAGAGTGGATGGAATCCAGGGAACTAGTGAGGTTGGTCTTTGATAGGGTGTGGAAAATGGTTCTTCATTATTGGAGAAGAGAGGTTTTATGGACAGATGGGGTCAAGGTTGTTAATTAGATGGTAAATATTACAAATTTTCTTCATTGGGCAGAGTCAGCCTTTTCCTTAAGATGATATCAGAAGAGGCCAACCTGCAGTCTCACTGGTTCCGAGCAAATGGGCCCATCCCAAGACAACACTCACCATGGTTCTGTCCTGCCAGGCAGTTCATCAGGTAGGATTTTCCAGTCCGATACAGCCCTACAATGCCCACCACCACCACAGGCTGAGAAATCTTACTAAGAATCTGTAATGCTTCTGGATTCAGGTTCAGCTGCTCTTCCTGGTTTTCCACTAGACAAATGGGTGCCATCATGATGGGTTCAGTTGCCATGGTAACCTGCAACCCAGAAGAGCCTCTCAGTGGAATGGAAGATTCCAGAGTCATCTTTAGTGGTTATTCAAGGAACATGCATATTTACTTCATACTTTTTATACATTTTGAAGGGAAAAGTATACAGCCTGGAATTGGCAAATCACAGACCTCTTCCTCCGGCATACCCATAATCCCTAGTGAAATCAATGATGGCACAAACATACTATTTGTCTCCAATGACTCAGTTCTCTAAAAATAATATTCTTGTTCATGAATCCCTCTGCAAGAAAAGCCTTGGTAAAAAAACAAAATCCCTGAAATTTAAAGAATTTTATCTTTTCTACATTTATTATTTTATTTATTTATTTTTTTTTTTGGGACAGAG